GATGATCATCAATTAAATTATCTTTGAGCGTCAAACAGCAAAGGAATTTGTATCTCAAGGGGTTTTTGTAAAGGTAGACTTTCATTTTCATCTTTTTTTTTTTTTTTTTTTCTTTTTGAGGAAGATTAGCCCTGAGCTAACATCTGCCGCCAATCTTCTCTTTTTGCTGAGGAAGACTGGCCCTGAGCTAACATCAGTGCCCATCTTCCTCTACTTTCTATGTGGGATGCCTGCCGCAGCATGGCTTAACAAGTGGTGCCATGTCCGCACTCGGGATCCGAACCAGTGAACCCTGGGCTGCTGAAGCACAAGGTGCTCACTTAACCGCTGCATCACTGGACTGGCCCTCATTTTCATCTTAAAAGAAAATTCTACCCATACAAAATCTTGAAAACATTTTGCTTAGTGAAAGAAGCCAGTCATACAAGACCACATATTGCATGATTGCATTTATATGAAATGTTCAGAATAGGCAAATCTAAGAGACAGAAAGTAGATTAATGATTGCCTAAGACTGGGGTGGGAGGAATAAAGAGCAACTGCTAATGAGTACGGTGTTTCTTTTTGGGGGGATCAAAATGTTCTAAAATTAGATCGTGGAGATGGTTGCACAACCCTACGAATGTACTAAAACCCACCAAATGTATACTTTATTTAAAAAAAAACACTTTTTTTGAGGAAGATTAGCCCTGAGCTAACTACTGCCAGTCCTTCTCTTTTTGTTGAGGAAGCCTGGCCCTGAGCTAACATCCATGCCCATGTTCCTCTACTTTCTATGTGGGACGCCTACCACAGCATGGCGTGCCAAGCAGTGCCATGTCCACACCTGGGATCCGAACCAGCAAACCCCCAGGCCGCCGAGAAGTGGAACGTGTGCATTTAACTGCTGTGCCACCAGGCCCGCCCCCTAAATGTATACTTTAAATGGGTGAACTATGGGATAAGTAAACTATATCTCATTAAAAAAGGAGTCTTCCAGGGCCGGCTTGGTGGTGCAGTGGTTAAGTTTGTGTACCCTGCTTTGGTGGTCCAGGCTTTACCAGTTTGGATCCTGTGCATGGACCTAAACACCACTCATCAAGCCATGCTTCGGTGGCATCCCACATACAAAATAGAGGAACACTGGCACAGATGTTAGCTCAGGGCCAATCTTCCTCACACACAAGAAAGGAGTCTTCCATTCAAGTGATTACATTGGTCAAAATGTTCATCTGGATTTTAAGTGGTTTCCTTAGTTATAAAACTATTATACCATTATTATATTAAACTATTATTATATTAAGCCTTTCTAATTTTACTCAACCATAAAAGGCTTAAAATGTTGACATCAAATCAATTTAAAACAAATACAAAGAATTAGATACTTCTATATTTGATTGATTACATAAATTAGTAAACGTACTTACTTGTATGAGCAGTGAGATGTTTTACATATTTAAAATTTAAGGAGAAAACTCTTCTCTTGTATTTTCTCTACAATCAATCCATTTGAGAAATTCTGGTTTAAGTTGAGACAACCATTAATTTGAATGCAGGTATTACTATTCAAAATATTCCCCTGTGGTGATTTATTGTTCTGAATTTTATATTTACTTCAATAGTTCCTAGAATATCACTCATGGTCTTCTCTTCCTGGAATTCTCCCTCACCGTTGAATCTCTACTTTGTTTCTTTGTAAACATATATTGCTACTTCTATTTATTCTCATATGAGAAGTCTTCCAATTGCTCTGACACCTTTGGCACATTTTAGGTTTCTCAACTGTCTGTTTTCTTTTGCTTCTTAGGACAATGATTTGGTTTCTAAGGTCATGAGGCTAAAGGATTGAAAAGTGTGTTTTTTGTAGCCTACTCTTGAGCTTCTAGGTGAAACAATTATAAAAAATTAGCATTCCACCAAAGGAAATCATCTTAGCAATAAAAATTCAAAGAGAAACATTCCATATAGAAAATTTCTACATCTGCCTTGACCAACAATGAAAAAGTTCAGAAAATATTTTGAAATAATCCAAATACTAGCTTGGTAACCTATTACCCTACTGTTTAAATTTTGACATAGGTTAGCTCATTTTCAAGAAATTAAAGGGGCCAGCCCGGTGGCGCAGCGGTTAAGTGCACACGTTCCACTTTGGCAGCCCGGGATTTGCTGGTTTGGATCTGGGTGCAGACATGGCACTGCTTGGCATGCCATGCTGTGATAGGCGTCCCACGTATAAAGTAGAAGAAGTCGGGCACGGATGTTACCTCAGGGCCAGTCTTCCTCAGCAAAAAGAGGAGGACCGGCAGTAGTTAGCTCAGGGTTAATCTTCCTCAAAAAAAAAAAACCAAACAAAACTTCATGTACTCAAGAAATTAGAAGAAGGAAGCTGACATGCAGGAAGAACAATCACCCTACATTAATGAGCACATAAGATTATTATTGAACAGAATTAAAGAATCAAAAAAATCCATTTCTTACACACTTCTCTATTTAAACCAGTTAGTAGCCATCTCTTCCCAACTAGGTTGAGAGCAAAAATCATCTTTATCTTTTTCACAGCCTCCAGAACACATCTCACTTAAACAACCAGTGAGACCAACTTTCAAGAATTTTCTCTTGTCTGTCTGGATCAGTAACAAGTATACTCTGTCGTACAGAAATCAGAGTTAACTCGTTTCAATTCTTAGTGCTTTGGGTGAAGTTATTTATTTATTTTTTTTGAGGAAGATTAGCACTGAGCTAACTACTGCCAATCCTCCTCTTTTTGCTGAAGAAGACTGGCCCTGAGCTAACATCCGTGCCCATGTTCCTCTACTTTCTATGTGGGACGCCTACCACAGCATGGCGTGCCAAGCGGTGCCATGTCCATACCCGGATTTGAATGGGTGAACCCCAGGCCCCCGAAGCAGAATGTGCGAACCTAACCACTGTGCCACCAGGCCGGCCCCTCAAGTTATTTTTCTACTTAAAATATTAGTTATGAATTTTTAAAAATTAATCTTTCCTTTGCTCACTCACGTAAGTTTAAGAATATTCACTCAACAAATAAGTCAATTAATGTTCCTTTTTCAGAGAGCGCTCATACACAAATATTCTCAACCGTGGGAAAACACAGGAACCTCAATTTTTCTAGGTATTGAAACCCAACCCGTTTCACGTCTTTTTAAGAGTCTAAGGGGTTCTACACCCTGTGGCATATACTCTGACCTGCCTTTTTGTAAAAACTCCAAGGACCTCAGTTGATCCCAGCTGGAAATTTCAGCTGTCATGTATTAGACTGAAACGCAAAGAGGCATTAGTGTGTTACACAAACCCTACTCATTTGTTTTCAGATTGAGTAACAACTACAGAATGCCTCTGCTAGTCTGAAGCTACTCACTTTCAAACTGGAAAATTGCCTTAAATTAGTTCAAACAATGGATGGATGAATACGGATACAAAAATAGACTCCCTCCTCGGTGTAGACCACTGCTGCAGTAACCCGGTTGGGCTCCCTGCCTTCGCCCCTCTAACCTAGTCCTCTTCTCTTCCGCCAGGGTGATCTTTGCGAAATTCAAATCTAACCCTACCTCCCTTCCGACTGAGAACCCTCGAAGATATCCCACTGTTCTCAGACTTGAAACTAAACTCCTTAACAAGGCATAGAAGGTTCGGCGGCCCCCACGCCCAGCCTCAGCTCCTCATCCTTTAAAAGCTCCCTCTTGACACCAGGCTTTCCAACGCGTTGTCATTCTTTCTGTCTGGAATCTTCTCTCCTCGGTTAACTCCCGCTAACCCTCCCTCTCTGAGCTCGACCCTCGCTTGCTCGGGAGAGCCTTATCTCCCGAAGCCAAATTCCCCATTTCGACTTCTCCTCCCACCAGCTAACTCCCCCTTCGTAGCACTCACCACTGCTGAATTTCACGCTCGCTTCTGTGTCCATTTTATTTAAGATCCATCTGTCTCACTAGGCTTAGCTTCACCAAGGCTGGGGCCGTACTCGTTTTTCCACAACTAAGTGAGGGACCGAATGAACGACCGATTGGAAAGTGCCTTCGAACGCACCAGAGGATGAAACCAGGGCGCACACTTGCATATAGAAAGTGAAAATGACATGCAAAGTATTTTTTTTTAAGGGAAGGGTCTGGTTTCAGAATTGCTAAATAAAGACATGTGAATGTAAGCGCAGAGTAACTCCTTCCACTCAAACTCAGGGAGATGATGGGTCTGAAGAAAACTGCCTGAGAGCTACAGCAGGGGATTTAAATAACTCCGAGGCTGATTTTCCACTGGGGCTTGGCAGAAGAGCTTCAAACGTCTACTCTGCTGGCAGAGCTCGCAGGGTCGGCGAGGTTCCTGCTTCCTCTCGGCTCAGATGCCCCCTTCCGCCCCGCTCAGTCGCCTACTGCTCCTCCCCTTCTCTAGCGAGAGGATGGAAAATTCATACACAATCCGGTTCAGCATCCGGGTCCTCACCCTCCTTTCTTTCTTTCCTCTCGGCTCCGCCTCCTAGCATCCCCCCCCCCC